CCGGGCCGGAGCCGCGCCGCGGGGGCCGGGCCGGAGCCGGACCCGAGCCCGCCCCTGCTTCTCTGATTTGCGGGAAGCAGGGGAGGGGGCGGAGCGTTCAGGGGAGGTGAGGAGGGGGAAGTGAGCTGAGGGCGGGGCGGAGAGCTGCAGCGCGGGGCCCTCTTGGCGCGGAGCCCAATTCAGCTGAATCAGCCTAAAGCCGGCCCTGCCGGGTAGCCTCCAGACCCTGCACCCCCGGCTGGGCGCTTTCCCTCCCGGGCTCCAGCTGCGCTGGGGAAGCGCCTGCCGGGGGCACAGGGTCTGGGGGCTGCCCGGCAAACCGTGAAGCCGGTAGCGCTCGGGCAGCCCTTTCCACGTGGCTGGGAGTAGGAGGGAGGAGGGGGCGGAGTTAGGGCGGGGAAGGGGTGGAGTTGGGGCGGGGCCAGGGTGGGAAAATGGGCGGGGCCAGGGCCCGTGGAGGGTCCTCTTTTTTATTTGGTAGATATGGTAACTCTAGGAGAAAGGATTGGAGGGAAGGCTCCTAAAAAGCATTCTGATTAGGAGGGAAAGTTGCTGAGCAGAGAAGTTTTGAGTGGGGAGCAGAAGCTCAACAGGACCTAGGTAGGGAAATAAAACAGCAGGGCTGGAAGTACACCAGGCAGCCCATGAGGCAGTTGTTAGAAGGCTGGGAAGGAAAGGAACAGAACTAGTGTTTTTCCAGTAAATTGTTTCTAGCTCAGCTCCCTCCTTCCCCTTCCTTCTGCCCCTTCGGATACATGGAACCTCCCAGTTGAGTAGTTTCCCTTCACTAGTCTCACTGAGCTCCTGCTCCACTGCTCTTTGGTCCCTGGCCTTGCCAAAGTCTGGATCCTCTTCCTGAAAGAGAAGGTGCTAGGCAGCAAATCCCCTCCATCTGCTGCTTATCACCTTACTCAGAACTGCCAGATCCCACTTCCTTTCACACAGTACCAGTTCCTTGGGTGTCATAGCTTTGCAGCCAAGAAGTGGAACCACCTAAGGGAGAGAGAAAAGGTAAAATAAAATACTTTGACTTTTTTTTTTTTAACTTCCAGGAATTAACTAAAAAACCTACAATGATTGTTCTACTGTCCAGGAAACTCCCCTGAGTTTGAAGAATTTCATTAGGAAATAAAGCCACACTTGACAATAGTACCTTACTTAAGAGCACTATAAAGAGAATTTTCATGTTTCTCTTGACCAATATGCAGTTCTGCTCTACCCCACTATACATCTATATTAAATTGCTATTTTTCTGATTCATGATCAGGGTGTATAGCTCAAATAAAGCATGAAAAAAAACAATTTTTTCTATTGACTAATAATACTTATATAGGTATTATAGATGTGCAATATTATGATTAATACAGCTCAGCCTAATTTTGTAGCCATTCCACACACAACTCCTATTGATATCTGTGGGTTGCCCGCATATAACCATTTGCAATAAGGAGCCCACTTATTTCTATATTTTGTTTCCTCTCTTTCATGTTCTCTAGTCCTTAGATTTAAAATTGCTTTTCTATGAGACTGTAAGTTGTATTTGTTTAAATTTCAATTAAGCTACAGAGTGTCATATTTTAGAAGAAGTAACTAGAAACCATTTATATTAGATGTGAACCTGTCATCTGACTTTCCTTTTTTCAAACTTTGTGGAATTCAGTGCTCTTGAAAGTTGCTGTGCTGAGACTCCTCTGTCCACAGAATAGGTACAAGACAGACAATGATCACACAAGTTTCTACATACTGCTCCACAAATGTGCCACAACCTTCATTTAGCAGCACCAACTATGAGAGGGTTGTAGCAAGTCTCTGTGACAAACCTATTCTTGGCCTCTGTGCTAAAACCACCAAGATTGTCAGTTGATGCCAGTGATGTTTTGCAGTGGGTACTACACTGAGATTACCAACACTTATATATGACATAAACAAACAGCCATCAAATGGAAAACCTTTTGGCTACCAAAAGCCTGAGCTGGATTCAGACTTGCAGCCTAGAGGTGAATGTCTGATTTTCTATTATTGACCTCTTTTGACATTCCATTGCCCTCTGCTCTAGGATTTATGTCTGACAGACACAAATTAAAATGGTTAGTTAGGACTAATTCCAAAGAAGTAGAAGATACTTGAGGTAGCCTTTTATCTGCCTGTGATTTTGTTCAGATTTTGTTAGTAAACATTCGTCATCTGTGACATTCACATAACAGGTACATCCCAGGTGGAAGTTCCTTGTTCTGTCTAAAAGGCAGAGACTCTTCCTCTGTAGAAGAGTTATAACCCCCGTCCCCTACAGAGTATAAGGATTGAATAGTTAGTTTTATTTTGATTTTTAAAAAACCCTCTCAATAATTTAAAATGACCGTTAACCTTTCAAACAGTCACAGTTTCAACTTTTCACTAGTATAATCATGTCTGTATTGTAGTGGGCTATTATAGCTGTCTGAAAAAGTATTGTTTGATGTCTGTAAGCACAGTCAGTAATCAATAGCTTGAAATTTGTGCCATTTAAATCCTTTACGATTTGGCACATCATTTTTTATTTCATTCAATCTGCTCACTGTAGAATAAAAAGAGTTTTGAACCATTGCCACAAAGCACATTTATGTGTGAAACAATGTTCATTTATATAGTGGCAAGTATATCATGTTGACATTTATTTTCAATATTAATTGTACTTGTTGATTGTTTTGTACAAATTGTAAATTTATTCAAAATATCAGTCGATGACAATATTTTGATAGTGATGCGCAACTATAGAAAATTATCACAGTTGCACAAAAAGCATGGTCCTGTTAAATATTTTAAGAGAAATTATAAAATCTATAATTAATAAACTAAAATACCCTTTGCAGATGTTTTGACAAGGATAAATGGAATGGTAAATCATTGTAGCATTGCTGTCAGTGTCACTGTTGTTAAGGTTGAGAAGGGTATCGCACATAAATTCCTATCTTGTGGAACTATTGACTAGAAAGAAATAGGACGCTGCATTCTGGGTGATATATGCCCCCATAGGAAAAGTCTTTTGCACTGGATCTTGCTTGCAGATCATATTCCACATGCACCTACACATTAAAGACAAAGTTAATCAACTTTCTTATGTCTGTGCACAGCTTCACTAGAATGTTGATGTTGTCTGTTGAAAATTCCACTCAACTTAATATATATAGTGCTAACAGAACGTTGGGAGAGCTTTAGTTTATCAACAGAAACTAACTGTGCATGCACAAAATACTGATTTTTTAAATCCCTTTTCACTCTCTAAACTTGAAAATGGCTGAACCATTTTTGGTCACACTTTTTAAAAAATGGCTTCAGACCGAGCACAAATATGCAAATTTCAGCCCCAAAAGTAAAAGTTTGAAAAAGTTTAAGCATCTGGAAATGGAAAAAAATTGAATTAATATAGAAATCTAATAGAATTAGAATGAAAATATTTGGGGAATCTTGAGCTTATAGACTTAACATTATAGGCTTAGTTACACATTCCACCAAAAAAGTACGGTATATGTGTTCACTTTCAGATATGGCTGTGATAGTGCACTCTAATAGACACATTTTCCACACTTTTCTTTCTTTTTCCCCCCTGCATCCCAGGTCTTCAAACACATTCCCACCACAATGGAACATTTTCCTCAATAGTATCTTATCTCCTACTGATTCCTTCCTTTCAGTTAATAGCAACCAAAAGATGCTGGAACCTGCATCCTATTGGCATTTCAGAGAGCCTTGTATGTCATTTCATAGGATACCTAAGATGAAGAATAAGTCTATCAGTGTTTCTTCCTTATAAACCATTTATTATTATTTTATTTTAATATTAAAGTAACACCTACAAGCTCCAACCAAGATCATGGCCTTCCTATGTTAGGCACTGTGCATGCACATAGTAAAAGAAATTAACTGCCTCAAAGGGCTTACAATTGAAATGAGCAAGACAGACAAATAATAGGAGAAAGAAAGCAATAATATCTCCGATTTACAAAGGGGGAACCTAATCCATGGAGATTTAAATACAAGGAGTCCAGTAGAATAAAAGCAAACTCCTCCAATACTGTATTTTGAAAAGCTCCTTTTGGACAAGAGAAGCTAAGACAGAGTTTTGTATAAGCCACTTTGGTTGTCTGTTTGGAGGCTCAAGCCTGACTGTTCCTGTCTGTTTTTTCTGTTTCTTAGACACTTTTTGAGGAAGAAAAAAACTACTTAAATGTGGTGTTTTGATACTTGATAATACCCCTTACTTTGCTTCAGTCAGTCTGACCAATCTTGCCCAAGATTACACAGATTACAAAATAACCATGTTCAGAAAGAGATATTGTTCAAATTGCTTTATATGTTAGCAGCTTTGTGGGCTCTCCTGCTTGCATTCCCTGCTAGACATCTATCAGGAGTTGACTTTTTTTTTTTAAAGGTTTGCTCCAACTTGCTAAGAATGGTGACCAATCAGATAGTTAGCCAAGTCAAACTTGGAAGGGCCTGTACTTCAGAGTGGTGAGTACTTTGCTGCAGCTTTAAATTTAATATGAAAATCTATATTTTATCTTGATATTTGTTTTTCCTTTTGTCTCATCAGCCATAGTTTCTTGTGCTTTCTTCATGATCGCAGTTATTGTCTGAAATTCAGGAATGTTACAGCTTACTAGAGACCAGGGCTGGCTGCAGGCACCAGCATTCCAAGCAGGTGCTTGGAGCAGCAATCTGCAAGGGGTGGCAGTCCGTGTGTTTTTGCTGCCCCAAGCAGCGCGCCGAATTGCCGCCGTGGACGGCGGGGGCAGTCCGCGTGCCGTTAGGGCGGCACGCACGTTTCGGCGGCGGCGGCAATTCGGCGGCAGCTTCTGTGTTCAGCTGCCCGCAGCGGCAATTCGGCGCGCTGCTGAGGGTGGCAAAAACAGTAGAGCCGGCCCTGCTAGAGACTTCCTGTTCTTTCTCACTTGGAGCTAGTAGATTCCTAACCTTTATGCAACTATAAACAATGCAGCCCAATTGGCCCTGTCTACACTACAGAACTTGCTGTGTTCTGAAACATGGTCTTTAAAAAAATACATGTGGGGTTCCAGTTTGGAAGAGACAGAAAATTAATTTTCAAGGCTTGGTAATGTGTTTGTGAACCTTGATTATTATTCTTATTTAACATTCATATTATAGTAGTGCCCAGAGGCCCCAGTCAGGATCAGGGCCCTGTTGTGTTAGGTGCTCTACAAACACCAAAAAATACACAGTCCCTACTCTGAAGAGCTTGTAGTCTGTTAGTACAAGTATGTTAGCTGTATATTAAACAATTGTTCAGAATCAGAGGTGATGGGTCATGTGGTATAAATGTAGACTCAGACTCCCTTATTAGACTAGATTTAAAGCCATTACCCATGTGTAAAGAAATCTCAGTTGGTATAACTTACACAAACAGGAGTCAAAAGAAGGTGTAAATTTAAATAAAAGAGTGTGCCTATTTTATTTTATGCTTTCTTAAATGCTCCAATCAGTTGCTTCTTTCTGTGCTTCTTTATTTTGACTACTGGGTGTGTAAATTACAAACTCTCTTACATTCAGTTAGATTCACTGGGCGAAGTTCAGAGATTATATGCATGGGGATGTGTGGGTGTATATTGCATGGTGGTAATTTGGTATAAAACTACCTAAAGAAAAGAGGGAGTCTCAGGCTTGATCTACACTTAAAAGTTACACCACTACAGCTGTGGTGGTTAGACGTGCAATTTGATTTTTTTTTAAACCAAGTTAGTTATTCTAGCATAAGCCCTAATGTGGATGCAGTTATTTTTATATGGTTAATTCTGTGCATCCACACTAGGAGAGTTTTGCTGGTTTAACTATACTGATATGGCTAAACCAGAAAAAACTTTGTAATGTAGAGAAGGCCTTAGCTGTGTAAAGTACATATTGGCGGGAAGGATGGAAAATGTAACGTACATCAATTTTGACTCATTCTAGACTTACACTCACCTCTAAATTTGGTCCACCATGTTTAAAATCCATTTCTGTAGTGTAGATGGGGCCAGTCAGATCTTGTGTCGTCAGAAGGAATGCAAGTCTTCCATAAGTAATGGCAGAGAAAACAAATTATTATATTAATGGCCAATAATTTAGGGGAGAAAACAGGGGACTGTTTTTTAGAGATGTTCCCAATGATTTAAGTTGGTGTACTGAAAATCAGATCCTGGTTCTCTCATTTCCATTGGTAACTAACTAAATCTAAAATGATTAATCAGAAATAGGGTGCAGAAATGTGATCTTGTTTGTATATGAGAAGGCTCTTTCTGCAGTATAAAATTAAGAAATAGAAACAAAATGTACATATTTTAATTAAAGGGTCACTGTCACATAATTTGGGCCCAGCGTTTAGGCTTTGTAAGATGAAAGTCTTTAAGAAAGCCTAATACTGCCATAAATATTTTCATGACTTTAAAAAAAAATTCAGTGAAAACTGTTTTTTGTTGAGTTTCTTTGCCCGGAAGTGATTCCAGAGTTACCCAGGAAGCTGTACAAATTGATATTCTTCATGTGAATGAATTAACCATCCTGAAGCAAAGGCAGAAATGGTGTAAATTGGCAAAGCTCCATTGATTCCAAAACAGTAAAGCTACTGAGTCAAAGACCATAGAACATAAGAACGGCCAGACTGGCTCAGACCAAAGGTCCATCTAGTCCAGTCTCCTGTCTGACAACAGAGGCCAATGCCAAGTGCTTCAGAGGGAATGAACAGAACAGATAATCCTCAAGTGAGCCACGCTGATTTGCCCCAGCTGAGGACCTTGTCCATTATTGTTAGATAATCATTTCCAATTTAGCTCTTAACCTATTTTAACATTGTACCTTCTTAAAATGTGCAAAAAAGTGGTTTTCATCCTTGCTAGCTTTGATATTCCATATTTGCTTTAGGAATAACCCTTTATTCCTAACAGTAAAGTAGGCAGATTTTCATTTGTTTGCATCATGATAATTTTAAAATAGCTAGGTAGTCAGTAGGTACTTCAAGAGATTAAACTATCTGTGCACATTAGGAATAAAGTCTCAAATTTGCAGTTTAGGAGATACCCAACTATAACTGCTCAAATGTTCTCTGTATCTGAGATAAATATGTTGATTCCCTTGCCTGTAAGTTTCATTTACATATGAGTCAGTATTTAACATGTCATCATCTATATTGTTCCTCTTGTATGTTTAATTGCTTTACAGCAAGTTTTTGTTTGCTTACTATCACTGTTTGCATTATTCATTTTCATGTATTGTTTTATTGTAGGAGCATGAATTACTTCCAGTAGCCGCTAGGGGGCTCTATCAGTCCACCTTTTGAGATAATAAACAATAGTATGGTAGAGGTAGACTCAGTCTGTCTAAAACATACTTTTTAGCCTATATATTAATGTACTGTATATACTAGCTAAAAATAGTGCAGCTAAAACAGTATGTTTTTAAGATACATGCCTTTATAAATGGCTAGGATTTTTTCACATTTTTTAATTTCTCCGTCAAAGTAAATGCCAGTAGTTGTATATTTTCTTCTGGTTTTTACTACTCCATATTTCTGAATTCTGTTTCAGTATATTTATCCCATATCCTGTTGAAATTCAAAACCAGCTAATGCATACTAATGGGGTCTATTCTGTCATGTATAAGATCACTGAAGAACACAGCAACTTTTGTAGTTAATTGGCTAGATAATATTTAAAGCACAGCATTTCTGATGATTGTAGCTGGCAACTGTGAGCTTGGAAAAACTATTGGGTGAACAAGCTCACTTAAAAGAATAATTCTGTGAATTAATAAACAGTGCAGGCTCGATTAAAGCCTATGGAGGAAAAAAGCACTGAAATGGAGAATCGAGAAGCTTAATCTTCCCTTCTCATACACTCTGAAGGTTTGAGGAGTGTGGGGGGAAGGGTATGGCACTTAATGGTAATACTTTGAATCACTTGTTGAAAGCACTAAACCCACTTAAATGACAGGTTCAAAACTCCATCTTGTTTCCAGGCCACAAAAGCCCTTTCAAGGCTCCATAAACTCCTCAAAATTGATTTTTGGGGGGATTGTGCAGGTTTTTGTTGTTTGAAGGATGGACAGCATTGTTACTTAATCTGGACTTACAAAGGCTAAATGCCTTGGGCCAAATCTTTATGACTTATTCAAACAACTACTTGTATTGACTTCATGGAATGAAGGTAAATTCAGGACAAGTAAAGCAAACTAAACTCCCTCCCCTTAATGATTTCTGCATCTTCTCTCTTCTTCTCTTTCATACTTTTGGAAGAAAAGAGCCCTTAAAAGTACTGTTTTCTGGATCCTTTCCCACTAGTCTCTTGTTCTCTCACACTCTGTGTCACTCATTAGTTCAGCCTCAGATTCACTCCACCTGTTCTTTCCCAAAAGAAGTACATTTAGAAGTTCATGGCATTGTTCTTTTTCCCAACATACTTCCGCTCAGCAGCTCCATCAGACCCACACTTAATAAAATTTATATTTCTCATGGCTCAATGGCTTTGACTTCAGGATTTTCATTCAAGTTCACTCCGTGAAATGAGTCTATGGCAGGGATGACAAACATATGGCCTGCAGGCTGGATGCAGCCCAGTCAATGTATTAATTCAGCCCTCATGTCAATTTACCATTCCATTGTCATCGTGGACCGCTGCCAGCAATAGCAATTGACACAGTGCTCCAGCACTATAGCTTTTGCACATGGAATCTGGCTGTAAAAGCAAAACTGACTAGTATTTTAGTCAGTTTAATTTTGCAGATGACCCCTTTTTACGTGTTTGGTGTAGAGTGACCATTCACTTACATACGGATGGGTATGCAGAAGGAAAGCCATTAGGATTCCTCATGGAACAAGTACAGAACGTGCCGTTATGTTTGTAACACTGGCCCGTGGATTCCATTTGAAAATGTCATTTGGCCCTCAGCACAGAATGAGTTTGATACCTCTCGCCTACTGAGTGCATCCAGTTTCATGCAATAAGGTGAGTCTAACCTGAAAACTAGAAAGCTAGTAAATTTTGAAGGGTCTCTTTGCCTAGACTCACTTTGAAAGAAAGTTTTCTGAAGCTTCCCTTTTACAGTTGGTTTAGTATGTCAAATAGTCCCCTTATCATCACTACGTTTTATCTTAGTGATAGTTATTGTTCTTTCTTTATAGAAAAAGAAAAGAAAACTATCCTTTTGATGAAAATAGAAAATGTCTATGAAATATAGGTGCTTGGATTAATTTTTTTTTAAATTGACATAGATTTGAAAGTTAGCAAACTGAATGAAAAGCTTCACTTTGTTAAAATGATATCAGCCATCACAGACATAGCTTTAAAAGAAACCCTTAATAAGTGAAATTCCAACAGCAATGCCAACCATCGGGGCTGCAGTGAGGGTGGAGCGAGTGGGGCAGCTCCCCAGGGCACAAAGCTGTGGGGGTGGGAAAATGGGGCGGAAACAGAGGCGACACCCCCTGACTCACCTCAGCAGGGCACCCAGTCTGTTTGGGTTGTGG